GTCAAATCTAGTTACCCCAAGAGTTTGGGGAACTAGATCTACTGACCTAGTGTCTAACTGCTTGTAACAGTTAGACTGAGTGTGTCCAAAAGTCTGGCAACCAAGACAAACCTTGGATTTCCATTGGTACTCCACCCTAATCATTACCATAATAGGGTTACCACTATCATCACACTTCTCCAACTGCAGGTCAAATGACTCAGTGAGGTCACAATGAGCATTGATTTCCACACATACGCGTGCGAAACTTATCCTCTTCCTTGTTGCAGTAAGAGAATCAACATATAATGGTTTACCAACCACACTTGCAATGTAGCTAATACCTTCATCTATCCAGTACTGCAAGGGGATATTATACAGTTTCACCCAAACAGGAATGACAGAGTGATCCTCCTTTGAGACAGCGACATCTAACTGCCATTTCTTAAGGAATAATGGCCTACCTTGGAAGAACCACGGGCCAACTTCCAACACTTTGGTTTTTGCCACCTCATCCTCAAATTTGAAAAAGAAGAAACCATGTTCATTAGCCAAGACCTCCAATAGTCCCATTTTGTCCCAAGTCTTATGGGCAATGAAAGACACTATCGAGAATGACATTTTTTTTCTCAATGAAGTATTCCACAAGACAATTTCTCTGTAAGGCACAACCTTTGTTTGCAACCTCAGCTGGGGGTTGAACAACAACACGATTGTTAACTCTTTTTGGTTCAAAGTATTGCAGTTTCATAGCGTCTTGCTCAATCCTGCTTGTTTCTGGGTTTGGGTGATTCCTGCCATACTTTAGCATTTGATTCCACGGGACATTAGTAGCAGATTTGTGCTGAGCAGGTGGGTTTTTCCCTGTTTTAGTAAGAATCTTCGTCTTTTGAAGCTTGTTGGATGAAGTTGTAAAACCCTCCACCCGCTCGGCAGTGGTAGCAGCATTAGTGAGAGCAATAACTTCTTTAATTGGCAAATCCTTTTGTTGGTTGGGCAGTGACGCCTTCTGAGTCCTACCGTCTTGGCTTGTAGCAGATTTGGAGCAATAATGGTGGCTATCATTGCCCTTAGTGGGCAGATCTACAGGATCTGTTATTGGTGGTACAGAATCACTCACAGCTATGCAGCAATCATCAGCCCTAGGTTTAGAGTTGGGGTTTGGGTCCATTCCAACAAGAACTTTTTTGAGGGATGGAGGTTAGATTGATGAGGAAGAAGGGGATGGGAATCCAGTGAAAGAGAAGAAGCAGGGGAAGGGAACGGGGGTGAGAGCTTCCATAGCATAGAAGTTTCGGTGGCCAAGAATTTCATCTGTTTTTATTTTAAGTCGTTACTTTAGCCATGAAAGTATAGTTCTTTTAGAATATGAATCCAACTTGAGACACATGTTTAAAGTCACTTGCTAAGCTGTAGAAGGAAAAAAAAACGCATCCTAGAAACTTGGAATTTGAGGAAACTGTGTCTACATCTTTGTCGCAAGAGACACAAGATTTACATTGAAATCAAATAATGTGATGTCGACATGACTGCATAATCTTTGTAAGTTGTCATCTTCAAGTATCTATATATATAACTTTTGAGCCGGAAGCTATTGAGTTAGAAATGGTCAGAGGTGTCAAATTCAGTTTACGCACATTAATTAATTTTTTTTTAGGTTCGATCAAAGGTAAATTATCTACACCGAAATTAGAGTATTCATGAGGATTAAATCTATGATGACATGACGTTTTTTAAAATCATTGTTATTTTTTAATGTAAGAATTGTAAAGCATGAGTCGCAACTTGCATAACAATCCTTTTTTGTTTTTCGAACATATAATTGATCTATTATAACTGACAATCTCAAACGGGTGCATTTGCTAACTATTTGATTTGATTTGTGTTCATCACACACGACGCAGTCAATAAGTCTTATTTTTCCTCCCAAAAAAAATATTAAGTCCCATCATATTTATTTTAAGACAATTAAATCTTATTTTTTATAATTTATTGTAAGAAGTCCTAAACTTCATCAATAGTATGTTTTATTTCAATTTTATCCTCCCCATCGACACACCAATTNTTATAATTTATTGGTAAGAAGTCCTAAACTTCATCAATAGTATGTTTTATTTCAATTTTATCCTTCCCATCGACACACCAATAATATTTTTATAAATAATAATATGTTATTAGTGTTCCAAAGCAAATTATAACAGCCGAAACATGTAATTAACAATGACGACTTATAAAAATGATAAATTATACAATTCTATCTTTTATTATATTTAACTTTTTAAGTATATGAATTTCGACTTACCTGATTATAAAATTTGAACAATAAAGACGTACAAAAACTAATTTATAAAAATTTACAATCTAACAGAGGCGGAGGCAGGGTGGGGGCAATTGCCCCCATTGAAATTCTAAATATTTGTAGGGTTAATTTAAAATTATAATAAAAAATAATTTTTTTAATAACTGGCCCCCATTCATTTTTTTTAATGCACTAAAAATTTAGACTCAAAGTTCGTTCATAGAGACTTAATCTCACAATTTTTTGTTTAATCTCTACTTATCTTTATTCCTTTTACAATGACTCACTTAAGTTACCGAATCAATCCTTCTCTGAATTCGATTACTAAGACATAAGTATATATTTTTGACCAATTATCTAAGTTCAAATATACTACATCATTTTCTAAGATTTTAGATTTGAGCGCATAAAAAAATTTGATCTAATTATGATTCAATTCAATTCACTTTGATTCAATTTGATATGCATACACAAATATGTATATGTAAGCATTTGATAAAGCCCAACAATTAAATTGANATATATATATATATATATATATATAAGATTGGATTTTTGATAAAATTCATAATATTTAATAGATTCAAATATGGATTAAAAAAACGAAATCAGTTGAATAATTAGATTAGATTCAAAATAGGGTTTTCAAGACAAATTGTCATTCGGATGAGTCAAAATCTTATCATTGACAAGCACACTCACAAAATGATATGTCAAAATAGTATTCTTTATGAAAACTGTCTTTATTCTAATGCTTTAAAAAAAATTATATTAATTTTTCATAGTTGGCTATATTTTTTGACGTGTATTTATATGTGAAATTTTTGAAAGTAAAAAAAATTATATGAAGAATTATTTTATAAAAAGTGTTAGATTAGGAAATTTTTTTTTTTATAGAGAATGAAATTTTGAAATAATAACTATGTTCACTAGTTACAACAAACTTTGATAATTGTTGAGTAATCATTTTCTTTAACTTGATGATTATCTCCGGTTCTCTTTAACTTAATGGTTGCCCCCACTGAAAAGAAATTCTGGCTCCGCCCCTGCTATTTGAGGCATACCAAAAAAATAAGCATTCAAAAATAAGACATTGTATTTAAGAGATAAAATAAAAAATATTTATGGATATTATAACTTCTATATTATGTACGTAGGATTCACTCACATATGAACTCTTACATGTCATTAGGATGGATGCTTTGATAATAAGGGTATAACTTACTTTGATTTTAATTAAAGATACAAAAATAAAATTCCAACAAATTAAATTAATTATAAAATTACCAATAAAAATGCAATTTGTGTGTTTATGGGACTAATAAAATTGGAACAAAACAAAGCATTAATGGAGTTTAGAACTTCTTGTGAATAAATTATTAAAAAGATATTAATTAAAAAATGACAAATTTAAATTTAAAAAAAAATAAAATATGAGTCATAGATTTTTAAAACATGATGAAATCTAATGATTCAAATGTTGCACTGGTGATTAAGCGATAGGACTATTATTATGTCTGGCTCATATGATAATTCTTTGGGTCCCACTTTTATTCACTTAAATTTCAAAGCTTGTATATCATGTCATCACCCATGCATTTGGCGCATATTTTTTTATTTTTTTTATTTTTTGTCAGTATAAGATTATGCTTTAAATATTGCCCTAAAAATCTTGCTTGGTCAGTATTACTGCATTTGAATCCCAAAAAAAAAAAGGTATCACTGCATAGTTTGTTCTTGTTTTTTTGGTCTAATAATTGATTAATATTACCCTCATTTGCATCACCAATAATTATTATACTAACCTCAAGGTAATTCAAGTGCAAACAAAGGTGAGTTGTAAATTCAATCGTCATGAGTTGGAATCTTGATAATCCCTTAATTAGAACCCGACCATGAGTGATTTATTCCTAATGAATACTCTAATTCCTGTATAGATGACATGTTTTTGATTAGACAGGGAATAAAATTTGTCGAAGTGCACATAAGTTGACATAAATATCTCTGACCGCTGAACAAAAAAAACAAGAAGAAATTATTATTATACTTAATTTAAAAGTCTAATGCATTAGAACTATTCAATTGGTAACGGACCCTTATAATTGGGACCTAGTTAATTAATGCAACTATGATACAACATTAGGTTTCCTAATTAGATTTTAAATGAGGTCCAATAGCAATGCTCTCTCCGAGTTGTGTGATAATCACAGGAGTGTTGGTGTCTTCTACTCTCTAAACACCAAACAATAGAGGTTTAATTTGGGTATCATTACATAATTAATTAATTAGTTGTGAGTGTCAATGTTAGATAAAATTCACAACCAATCTAATGATTATATATTATTTGATTCCTAAATTAGGAGAAAATATTCATTGTAACGTGGTAAAGTGATGTGGTATCACCAACTAATATTACTAAAACAACTAAGCGCATGAAACCCACAAAAATCAATAACTAACCTATCATGTAAACAAATAATTTTTCACCCTCCTGCAATGTAAGTTCAAGTGGGATTCACCTTTTCAATTTGAGATTTTATGATTGGTTGGTGATATCATGTCATTAATAGTGACATGATATCACTGTTGCATTCAATATTTACTCTTAAATTCTCAAATTAGGGTTAAATAAGCATTTTTCATAACAGTAATCATAAACATCATGCAAGAAGTGTAGAGCTAGAAAGCAAAAGTAACCAGAAGAGTGAGAGGAGAGAGAAAAATGAGCTGGGTGGTTGAGGTTGACGATGACCTCAACAAGATGAGCGATGCTTCAACAGAGATGGAGCTCCTCAAGAAAAAATCCATCTACAGAGTACCAACCCTTCATTGCAGATCTAAATAAGAAAGTCTACAGTCCTCATGCAGTCTCATTCGGTCCTTACCATCACGGTGAGGCTCATTTGGAACCAATGGAGTCTCACAAGAAGCGTTCTCTCCTTCATTTTCTTAAGAATAGAGCAAGCTTTCCTCTGAAACTGAAAGACATTCTTGATTCCTTCGCCCAAGTGGAAGAAGAGTTGAAAGATTCATATGATTCACTTGATCCTAAGTGGCATAGTGACAAAGAAGGGTTCTCGACGCTGATGATTATTTGAAAATTTTCCTTGCAGCCATTAAAACTCCGGACGATTATCACTCCGAGTCTCTGAGGATCCGATTTTCGGCAATCACGGGAAGCTCAATATCATGCCGTTTATCAAGAGGGACATGTTGATTTGGTTAGAGCTTAGCTTTTGTGAAGATGCAAATTAATTAACATTACCTCAAATATTCATGTAGAATGGTGACGAGTCCATCAACGAGATGATCCATAAGTTCTGTAATCCCGACTCTCGTGACATTCCTCCACCGACGGGAACATGCTTGCACGTACTTGATATGTTTCGGAAAAGCCTTCTCATGAAACCCTCCGTCACCATCTCCATGACCGGCATCGGCATGGATACTGGAACTGTCACTAGAATCGGTACCGCCACGGCTACTGGAACCGGTACCGGTACTGGCACGGGCTCTAAAACCGGCACCGGAATCGGCACTGGCACTGGCCGCGGTGCCAGCAAACAAGATAGAAGCACAGGGCTACGGAAAGGACAGCATCACGACGAATTAATTCCGACCACGCGATCCGCAACCGAGTTGAACGAAGCCGGTGTCCGATTCAAGGGAATAAAAAAAAGTCCGAGCATCAAAGACATCTCATTCGAAGGAGTACTGAGCCTCCCCACCTTCGTAATCGACGACACCACAAAATCGACATGTTTGAACATGATAGCTTTTGAACACTGCCATGTCGGCGCCGACCATGAGGTGACCTGATACATCTGGTTCATGGACAACCTCATCGACTCCTCCTCTGATGTCAGGTTTCTTCGGGCCAAAAGGATCGTTCAAAATCTCATCGGAAGTGACAAAGGTGCAGCAAATCTGTTCAACACAATCTCTAAGGACTTGACGATAGATCCGGCGAGTAAGCTGGGGTCGGTGAATTTGGCGATGAGTCGGTACTGCGAGAGGAGGCGGAACAGGTGGCGAGCCAACCTGATACATACTTACTTCACCAATCCATGGACTCTTATCTCCGTGGTGGCCGCCGGTGTTCTTTTTGGTCTCACCATAGCTCAAACTGCCTAGGGCGCTTTGCAGTACTACCAAGGCTAAGGGTGAGAAGTGAGGAATTTTACCCGCTCACACTTTAATTTACGACTAATGCCGCGTGGAATTAAAAAATAAATTTAAAAATTAGACTTAATAATTTGAATCATTGATTTTATTAGGGTCTCAGTATTTATTAGAATTAATTGCCTATTTAATAGTTGAAATTATCAACTCTAATTTTTAAACTTAATTTTTAAGTCAATCTAACATTACTCTTAATTTATTGACAAATAAATCACTGTTATTGCTTGATTTATGTTCCGTTTGGTACGATAGAAAAATGAGAGGATCCATAAGTTGAAAGGACGAAAAATTGAAGGAATAAATAAAACATCATGTTTGGTATGGAAAGAAAATAGGAAGGATGAAAAAGTGAATGATTAAACTTTTCTTTCAACTTACTAAAATTAATCCCTCTAAAATCGGAAAGAAAGTGGATGAAAAATTAATTATTTGTCTATATATCTTCTTTTATATACATATATTATGTATACATTAATTTCATATAAAAATATAATGTAAAATATATGTATATATATTAAAAAATTTTAAAAATAAACTTTAAAATTAAAAAATAAAAATAAAAATTTTATTTTAAAAAAATTTATTTTTTTCATCTAAACAGGTCAACTCGTAACTCGATACGACACAATTAGTTAAATGAGTTAAGTTAGGTTTAACCAATATTTAACATAAACTCGTAATGACTAAACACGAATCTGATACGACACGATTCGATTATCACCCCTAATCTTAGCCATCATAAAAAAAAAATAGTCATTTTTATTTTCTATCCATCTAACCAAACATAAAGGAAGGAAAATGTATCCTTCATATTTTCTATCCNAATATAAAAGAAAGAAAATATATCTTTCGTATTTTCCATCTTTGAATAATAAAAAGTGTATCTCACCTACTTTCCATCATCCCTACCAAATGAAGCATTAATGCTTGATTTTGGACCAAAATTTTCCACTTTATGTTAAATTTTGGTGGAATAAAAATTTGAAGTATTTTAAATCAATTTGATAGTCGTTTTAAATTTTGGTTCGAAATTGCATAAATGTTATACATTGTGGTTCAAATATATTGTCCAATTTGTTGGTAATAGATAATCGTGTGTACCTTTCATGCGTTTGCCTAAAAAGTTCTTATGTACGAGGAAAACTGTAACCCACGTTGAGTTAATAAATAGACTCCGTAATTATAACAATTGATTTTTTTTTATAGATTTCAGTATTTATTAATATTTACTACATAATTATAATTATCAAATTTATTTTTTTAAATTCATGAAATATTACCTATTAGGGCTAATTCATGTCTCTCATACAGAGACAAAATTACTTTTGAGTTGATATAATAATCCTAATTAAAAAGTAATTAATATTATTGGATCGTGTTAACTAAAACAATAATGTTACACTGATCAAATTTAGAGTTCAAATGACATGACAGCTGACTTAAACTTTTTTATTTGATGTCATGTCATTTGAGCCCTAATAAAGACTCCAAATAATATGCTGTTATATCATTTGACTTTAAATTTAATCCCAAAATTTGATCAGCATATCATTACTATAACTAAAAACATTGATATGTCAAAATGTCATGTCATACAACAAGATCCGAACATGGCCCATTATAAAGTTAATTAGGCCTTTTATTTTGGTTTAATGATTAGAGATGTCGGAGCTAATTTATGGGCATCTTAACTAATCTTTTTTTCTAATTCAGTCAAAAATAGACTATCCACTAAGGATATTAGTGGACTGAAGCGGGGGCGGGGGATATAGTCTTCATCCCTGTACCCGTTTAAAAAAATTTCGTCCATTTTCGGTGCACCCCGGTTAATGGGTATAATTTTCATCTCATCCTCATCCGCGGGTAAATTTTTAATCCTCGTCCCCGTCCCCGTACCTGCTCAAGCTCAAGCCCAAGCCCAAGCCCAAGTTCAAACCAATATAATCCAAAATTCTAAAAGAATATTACATTTAAAATAATTTAACATTTTAAATAATCTAACATAATATAATACAACATAATATAGCATAACATATTCCACCAAAACCCAAACAACAAATGTCTAAAATACTACTTGAATTTGATATAAACGTCCTATAATAAATCACTAAATAAGTTAAGAGGCCCCACAAAATTGAATATCTACTTGATCAACCAGCCATGAAATCCATCATTAGAGAACCTATATGATATTACAAAAAAAAATATGAGAGTTGAGCTATCAGCACCTGCTGCAACCGGAAGCTACAATGTTTACTTTTTATACGAAATTAAAAAAAAAAACAATATTATACCATTAGCCCAAAACCAACATAAGATCACAAGACATATTGGAATCTGAAACTCTTAAATTTAAAATCTAAACATGCAGGTTATGTGAATATTTCTAGGAGTTAGTCCTTGATACTTTTAAATGTTCATCATGCTATTGGACCGAATTAACTGTGTATTTCGGCATCAATAAGTATGGTATATCTTCTGGTTAGTATGACACAAAAAATGACAGAAGTAAATGACGTTCAGTCCATCAACAAATTAGCATTAGTAGGTGATGTGACCCACATATATCGATACCCAGTCACAAGAGCAAAATTGAAAAAGAAAATACAGTCTGGGGATCATAATACTATGAAACACCATTTAAAACACGCATGCATATACGTTAGAGAAGGGCTGGTTCAATTCCAATGGATGTTCAGATATCCAAACATAAATAAAAAGTGCAAGTTACTTCACAACTTGTCTATGTGTTTTATCAAAGATACAAGTGGACTTCTTTTGAAGCGCAGTATAACTAAAGTCTACACAGGGAAAGGGAGAGGGACCAGACTGGAAGTTTATTTATATATATACATTTTACGGGTATAACGGGAATGGGGCGGAGATAAGGGTAAATCCATCGTCGCCCTCATCCCCGCATGAGTTTATATGAGTATTCTCGTATATCTCCATCGTCCAATACATATAGTTCATCTATGGTCCAAACATGACATGTTTGGACGAATATTCATTTTTTTTCGATTCACTGTCATCCCTACTATCCACGTTAAAATTAGGATATTTATGAGGGATAAATTTTTCATAGTTTGACTTTAAAAGATTGTCAAAATTCGAATTTAAAACGTTTAAATTTACAATTCATCATTGTTACCATTTGAATTACCATTTGGGGTTAAAGTTTATTAGGTTTATGTTAACAGTTAAATCATGTTTATGAATTATTCTTATGATGGTTGGTTAATTCCTCCAAGACTGACTTAGTCTAGCCATGCCCTCCCAAAATTGCTTGACACCTTCAATTCCGTGATCCACAGAAACCTTCGACTCCAAAACATGCAAAATGCATAGAAAAATCCCCCGGGCCAGGGGCGGAGCATGAAAATTTTTTAAGGGTGGGTACACTGGCATGTTTTAATTTTTTTAATAGATCGTAAAAGTTCATAAATTTATATTTATTAAAATTATATTTAATATTTTTTAAACATAAAAAATTAAAAATTGATATACTAACATGAATAAAAAAATAATAATTAAAACTTCTTATCGAGAATATAACTAATTATTATTACTTATAATTGATTCTGATATATTTTTATTATTTGAAAGAGTTACAAATTAATTTTATCAACAATATTTCTTTTATATATAAAATTGCAGAAACAATATTCCATTTACGATCCTATAGTTTACTACATAACGACACACATTTTTATACAATAATAAAATAAATCTACAATTTAAAAAAATTATAAAATAATATCAATATATTCAAAACATATTCAGACATGTCTAAAACATGTTTAAAAGTTAACAATTATATTAGTTGTACATAATTTGAGATTTAATTGATAGAGACCCAATGATTTGTGACCGTTGAATAGATAGTAGAATTTATTAAATATTAAGACTCATTATTATATTTAATATCGTAATGTATCAGGTCTTTAAATTAGGTTTCAATAACATTGTTAAAAAAGTTAACAATCATTTAGGTAGACGTCTATTCAAATCAATATCACAAGAACATAATATTAGAGTGTACACAATTAATATGTCTAAATTTTATTCCAAAAAATGCATGCTTAATATGAAGCAAAAAAAAATTGAGGGGGTGGGGGTGGGGCAAAAGTTTTGTTTTTAATGTTGGACTAAAAATTTTATTTTTTTAATAGGTTTGAATGGATTATAATAGATCAAAGATTTGATTTTTTAATAAGTTTGGGTAGATGGTGATGGACTCAATTTTTTTTGTTTTAAATGAACTTAATTTTTTTAATTTTTTTGGATAAATAATGTGGGCCTAATGTTTTTATCTTTAGTTTTATGTGGGCATAAATAATATATTATATAAATATAATATATATATATATACCTAACTAATAATTTTTTTTTTTTTTTGAGAGGTCCAACCGCCCTTTACCCGGAGCATGAGTTGTTCATGTCCTTCGTGAAATTTGACTTTTAAAATAATATAACAATAAATTGATAGTGAATTTTAGTGTTTTTGAGACTTCTTATTTATCCAATAACCGTGATAGATTAGTTTATTAAATTAGGTCAATAAATTAAGTTTAAATATTATTGTTATAAATAAAAATAATAAAAAAATTATGCATTTATTTGTCTTTTGATGTTGCGACTTAATGATGTCCTAATTCCATATTCTAGGGTATATTTGATGATTTTTGATAAGCTTAACAAATAAATAATAGAGTTTGTTAAAACGAAGTAAATTAGTTGGATTAAAATAATACATAAATAATTAAATTTTGATAAAGCAAACCCTTTTAGTTAGTTTTCTTGTCAAGAAAATATCCACTTGTAAATTTGTGTGTTCCTTTATCTTCTTCCATCTCAATTTGCAATCTTTCCCAATCTAAAATTTAACATTAGACCACACCAATACAATAGCAAAAAAAACAGTGACAATAATTCAAGTTTTTATTTATTTA